GCACAAGACCCTGGATTCAATCCCCAGCACAAGCTAGGGGCAGGGGACACAAGAAAGAAAATAAAAGCATACAGACTGGTAGTGAAGAGAGAACCACACTGGGCAGTCTTGAGGGAGTTTACTTTGCTAGCATTTAGTTCCTTCATTTGTAAAACAATGAGAGAAATAGAGATCAGTGTTCATTTTTTAATATTTCATTTAAAAGTTTAAAAAATAGTAACTTTTATAAAGCACATGTGAGGAGTAAGATAATGAACAGCCAGGTATGGTAGCACATGCCTGTAATTCCAGCACTTGGTAGGCTGAGGTAGGAGGCTTTTCCACATAAATTTGAGGTCAAACTGGACTACATAGTTCAAGGCCACTCAGGAATACATAGCAAGACCCTGTCTCAAAACAAACAAACAAACAAACACATAGATAATAAATGATTTAGTGCAGTGCCTAGATCATAGTAAGTGTTCAATGAATACTAGCCATTGTAGTTTAAGGTTATTGCATATGTGATATGGCAATCTTTTTCTTTTTTGAATGCTTTCTCTTTGTTTATTGATACATTACCAGGATCTTCTGAAAAAATGGGTGCAAATCAAATTACACCAAATTGGCCTAATTATTTTAAAAAATGGTAAATTGTGGTTATTATGAACATTAAAGGCATTCTGAAAGGAACTACAGACATGCCTTGGTATGTGCAGGCACGACTAATGAGGATCTAATTGTAAGGTAGGCAGCTACTCCGATTTGCATCTTCTGTAGTACCCTCTCCATGGGCCCCCTGTCCCCTAGACAGATACTAAAATCTGGAGATGCTCAAGTGTCTTATGAAAAATGGGTTAGTGTTTGTATATAGTCCATGAACATCCTCCCGTAACTTTAAAATTTCTCTAGATTACTTAAAATACCGAATACATGTAAAAGCTAAGGGAATGGTTGTTATACTCCACTAGGGAATAATGACAAGAAAAAGGTCTGTACAAGTTCAGTACAGATGCAATTTTTCCCAAATATCTTTGACCCACACTCGGTTGGAACTGCAGATGTGGACCCATCAGAGGCTCCTCTGAGGGCTGTGTATGTACCATCGATAGGAACTATTTCAAGTCCTTAGCACACACATATATTTGCCATTTGCCGTTCTGAATATACAGGATATGAACACAGTATCATGTGTTTGAGGAAGAACAGGGTCTTTGTAACTAGAAAAGTGCTATTGTAGTACTTGTCCTCTGAAAAACAACAGAGCAGTGTTTCAGTAGAGGATTTAAACAACAGAGGTGTTTTACTCTTCTGACTCTTCAAAATTTAAAAGAAATGCTTAATTTTCAGCTCTGATGGCAGCTAGCACCAGGAAGGCAGTGCCCAACATCAGAACTGTCTTGCCAAGTCTAAGCATTCTGAACTTGACAGGCAGCCTATCCCCTGAAAGATGGTACAGTACGTGACTAAGGGGATCTAGGGGCAGCCTCTCAGATTTGTATTTGCTAAGAAATACCTTAATGGTTCAGGACAGCTGGTCACTGATGTGCAGCTCCGACTATTGCTTACCAGGCACCTACAATTGGAGGGACTCTGTTACATAGGGTCTGAGGTACTCGTCCCGGTTCTAGAGTTTATGTAATATTATCATTTAACTATATCTACTTATTAGCTCAACTGAGTAAGCAACTTGAGTACAGGGCCTTTTTTTCTTTTTGGCGGTATTTGGTGCTGAACCCAAGGCCCGCACACTGAGCTACCACCCTAGCCCTTTTACTTTCTGAGAGTCTTGCTCTGTCACTGAACTATGCAGGCTCCCTGAACTGGAATTTGTGATCCTTTTGCCTCAGCCTCCCAGGGTGCAGGATTACATCTGTGTGCCAGTAAGCCCAGCTTGTTTGTTGCATCTCTAATCTTGTGTATTAGGCAACTAACGAATACTGTTTTTATTTTATAATATAGATTAGAAAGTCGTGTAATACTGTATCAAAATAAACATTCTATGATTTATAAGTCTTGGAATTCAAAATATCTGAAAAATATGCTTGCATAACAATTGCAAATAGAAAGTCCTAGAATATTGGATAAGTGCCAATATCATTAATGCAAATGCAAAAATATTAGTGGCATTTGAAATTCAATGTTTTTTTTTTTTTTGTACTAGAGATCGAACTCAGATCCCTCCTCTTAAGAAGCAGGTGGTGGAACCACTGAGCTAAACCTCAGGCCCCCAGTGATTCTTATGGTAGACAGTAAGGAAACTGGGTAGGAGGTATACTGATACTTGAAACATTTTTGTAGTCTTCTAATTTGCATTTAAGGATACAGCTTCAGGACTATGTGAAAATAAATTCTGGGGCCAGGTGTGGTGGCGCACGCCTGTAATCCCAGCACTTGGGAGGCTGAGGCAGAAGGATTGCTGTGAGTTTGAGACCAGCCTGGGCTACATGCTGAGTTCCAGGTCAGTCTCGACTACATAGTGAGACCCTGTCTCAAAAAGCCAAAAAAAAAAAAAAACTATATTCAGGGTATTATCTAGAATTTTAAAATTATGTAGTTCATATATTTGAGCACTAATATGCTGATCTAGGCTCAAACTCAGTTTAAGGGAAACCAATTATCAACAAGTTTTTCCTCTTCTGAAAATAAGATTTTTCAAAATTGCCTCCAAGATCTCTCATAACTCCAACTCTCTGAATTTATGAGCATCATTGCTTCATAAAGCTATGGCTTTTTTCCCCCACGTAAAATGGCTTTTTATGAACTGTTGCGTTCTCCTAGCTCAATGTCTCTGGTTCACTATGTCAGTAATCATAGCATCAGTTGCAGCTGTGTTTTCCTTGAAGTCCTAGAAATGAATCACAGGAACCTTTTAACTGCAAAATCACAGGTTCTCTTTATAACTCTACTGAGGCCAATGTGATGGGAGCTTTAATATCTGTAACTATTAAACCCCAAATTAAACTGGGTGTGGTGGTGCAAGCCTGCAGTCCCAGAACTCTGGGAGGCTGAGGCAGGAGGATCACAAATTTGAGCCCAACCCGGGCGGCTAAGTGACTTTGTGAGACTGTGTCTTGAAATAAAATATAAAAAAAGGGCTGAGGATGTCACTCTGGGAATGCCCTGTGTTCAGTCCTTCATATGACAAAAAGCAAAACTAAACCAAACCACAGCAAAAACCCAAAAAAGTGTTTGAGCGCCCCTGCGGGGCACGTCTTATCACCGAGACTGCTTGTTGTAGTGCTCGAGACAGAAGCAGGGTGTCTTGATCTGAGCAGCTGAATAACCTCAAATTCATGTATTTTTGCTTCCTCTTCCTATACTTGACAGTAACTGCAAATATTTATCATCTTTTATCTATTTCCAATATTCTGTCAAAGGTAATTATTGAACAGGCAGAGACCCAAAAGCAGCTGGATTTTCCCACTTCCCACTTTTTAAGGGTCTTAACCATCTTCCCATATAATCTTATGGCTTACGGTTTTTGAATACTTACTCCTGCATTCGTGTTAATTCTCCCGTTAACCCTTATGGCCAATGCTACCTTTTAAAGAGTGCAGGAATCATAGTCTATGGAGTTGGCTGCTACTGGCCGAGGCTGGGTTGGTGTTTCCATAGGCTCCTGTAGTTCTTTGTCATCTCCCGGCCTCCAAACCTAGCTCCTTGGAGGTGTAAATGCAGTCCCTTCCACTTTCAGATCACAAACCCTGGCCCTCACCACCAGGACCTCAGGAATCTCTATCTGGGGGCTAGAATATTTTTTTCTCCTCCTAAGCATTCAGGTCTTCCCTCAAATGTTATTTTCCTCAGTAGGCTCAGGCCTACTTCGAGAGCTATCTCAGCTCTCTTGTAACATACACAATTCTGGCAGGAAGAAACTAGAGGAGAAAACAGGTGCAGAGACTTGTATCTCAAAACGGTAACACTCAGCCGTATTAATTCAATCCTAAAAGCAATTACATTTTTTAAATAATTTTTATAAAAGTCTACGCATTACTATGGAAAGATACAAGCCAAAGGTAAGTTATGAATCCCAGGATACCTCCGATGTTTAAGTAAAACATGTATAATAAAGCCGAAACAGATTTATACCAGCATGAAACAGTGGGCATCACTGGATATCTCCGGAATCCTCCCTTCATAAGCAACCTTTTGGAGGGTGACCCGTGTCTCTTAATATTTTGATTTCAGCCTTATATTCGTTTACTATTTCTCTGTAATCTGCCTAGGATCTGAATGTACTGGCGATACTTGATATTCCAAGTCCGTGTTTTAATAAGTGCAGCAGTAAATCAAACGACTTTTAAGGATAAATAGAAGAGAGAAGCTGTATGTGTTATCTCAACGGACGAATAGTTTCTCAAGAAAAAAGGGAAAAGGGCCACTGAAATGTTTTCTGATTCTAGGGGTTAGAACGGTAGAGCAGAAACGTTTAGCTGGGAAAGCGCTGAATGGTCAGGAATTCTGTTCGTCCAGTGAAAGGGAGAAGGACCCGCGGAGTCAGTCCTACGGCCCGGAGCCCCTTCCTGCTCGGCGAGCCCGGATCCCGGGAGCGCGAAAACCCCAGGCGCCTCCGCCGCGGCCGCCTTCACAAACAGCAGCCCTGCGAGTCAACCCTGCGCTTTAGAGTCCACACCAGCGGTGTCGCCACGGCTCCGGGTGAAGAGCTGTAACACGAAGATGGCCCCGCGCCTTCTGTCCGGACCCGAGCCGGCGAAGAGCGCCCCCAATGAAGCAACGCCGAGCGCCGAGGGCGCAGGCGCAGGAGAGCTGGGCGTCTACCCAGGGCGGGGCCTCCGGCTCGCGCCTTCCGAGCCGCAGGCCGTTTACTTTCA